GCAGAAGGCTTGCTGATGGAGTGTGGTGCATATCACTGTACCTATCAGCAGAGCTAAAAGAGCTTTGTAACACTTTTCAAAGCAGAGCAGATGCCAAGCAAAGAGCCAGGGGCCAGAGAGCCATGTCTGAGGGCACAGCAGAGGGGATACTGTCCTGATTGAAGAATTGTATCCTGAACATGTTCCTGAACCTGAATTGTAGCCTGTTATTTCCCTAATAAACCTCATAATCACGAGGATTGTCTGTGAGCTCTGCGTGGTGATTAAATTATCAAACCCAGCAGAGAAGTACTGAGTGGGAGGGACAGTTGGTGCCAGAATTGGTAAAAGACTGGAGGGTGGCGCCATGTTTGGCCTCATAGGAATAATCCTTGGGCTGTTAAAGGTGATTCTCTTTTCCCCTCAGGAGACTGTAAGAGATCAAAAGACACTACCCCCAAGTTCTTTTTGCAGAAAGAAACTTGATTTTCTGAAAATTTTACAGAAGAGCAAGCTGATCCTTTATATTGATGATATCATGTTAATTAGTCTTCGTGAGGTTCTTGATACTTTATAATTTGGGTTTGTTCCAATTTGGCTTTGTCATCCACGACTGGGCTTGTTTAAACCAGTTCGAAGCTCTGGTTTGCTTTTCAGTATAGAGACATAGCATAGATATTTCAGCTTAGGAATGTTAGTTGCTATCCTTTGTGCAATGAGAAATATTCTATAAACTTAAATGGAAACACTTATGTATAAATAAGATAATGATGAAATGATATGTGTAACTATCAGTCTGCTGTCCATTAGAAAAATGGATTGGATGAGTGTGTTAAAAACTGCAAGCAATGCAATTAGGAAGTATTGAATTAGTTTAGGCAAGAGATAAATAATATGTTAGATATGGAGAGCATGATGAGGAAAGTGAGAAATAGTTGATACAGAATAGTTACACTTAATATATGTTTATCAGATGAAATCTAAAGAATTTGGTAATAGTCCAAACAGTGGGACTGAGTGAGAGGTTAGTGTCAAAGATATCTTCCTGGTTTATGGCTTGCAAGACTACTTGCTCTCTTACCCCATTTCCTGAGACAAGGAATACGGTAAGGAAAACCAGGTTTGGGACGCAATAGCGGAAAATCTTGATTTATATTTTGACATATTAATTATAAAATACCTTTGGGATTTCCAAATGGACAAGTCAAGTAGGTAGTTAGGTAGTGATATCATTAAGAGATATAAGAGGAAGAAACATAAATTTATTCTAAATCCTGCTAAGTGGTGTTTTATAATCATGACGGTGAAACCTAAGGAGCCAAAGTATGGTTTTAATTGTTATAAATTCTGTCTAGAAGATTTGATGATTAGCTCATAATGCCCAGTAGAAAAATTTTGACTTCTTCCTACTGGGAATCCTTTAGAAGCATTGAGGGAATTTCAAATCTATTAAAGAATAGGTGTGAAAAGAGAAGAAAGAAATCCTCTCTTGCTCCAATTTGGAGTTTCCAAGGAAAATCAGTGTATAAGTAATACTACTTCATTAAGCACCTTTTGTTACTTTGAGAAAATGAGCAAATTTCCAGTATCCTCGTATTTTACAGAAAACTGGGTGAGAGTACAGATATTTTCATTATTATATATTTTTTAATTTATTTATATGATAAAAAGATGTCTAAGTTAAAAAAAAAAAAATTAAGATCCTAGGCAGGCTTTATTTTTTTAGTGATTAACACTAGTCAAGCTATGCATACCAAAACCAAACCAAACCCACTGCCATGGAGTCAGATCAAACTATGCATAGACAGAAATAAATGTCTATTTGAATGCATCATTTCAGTGGTAATTTTTACTGTGTGGACAACACATTTATTAGGCTATTTTTAGATATAGACGTAAAAATGAAAGTGGAAAAATTAAGTAATGATAATAATAATTCAAAGTTTTCAGTGTTTATTTTATAATGTAATAAATTTTCTTAATTGACACTTAAGCTATGAAGTTCAAATCTAACGTGAAATTTTTCAGAGTGTGACTAATTCTGTTTAAGTTTGTGGCTGATTAAAATTAAAAAAAATCTTTAATTTTATGCAATCATGAGTATATGGGCTAACGTCACTGAAGGCAACTTAACTCTTTGTGTTATCTATCACATAACTGTTGAGAGAAAATTAACAAGATTTAGTAATTCTTGGCTAAATTCTACATTGTAGGTGCTAGCTAGAAATATCAATGATTTGGTTATTTGATATAACAAGGAAAGTTGAGACACTTTATTCAGAGTAAAATATCTTAACATTCTTATTTTTGGGTAATCTTGTGGTTGTGTTATATATGTTTATAATTCTTGTTTTCAGTGAAGATAGAATAACATCTCAATTCTCCCTTATGTTAATCTTTTATTCTTAGAAAAAAAAAATCTTTATTTATATTTTAAAATTGGATAAACCAGTTTTTCTATATATTCTCATAATAAATTTTTTCTCTTCCCTAAATAACAAGAGTTGACACTATAAAATTATGAAAATGTTCTCTCAGTACCATAAAAATTTGTATACCTAAATATATTTGTTTTCAAGGTAACGTAGTACTCTGTGTATTCACCAGAAAACTTGTTTTTGGAGTTCTTTCAGATACTATTCTTAAATCATGAAAAAAAAAATCAATCTAATTGCTTCATGCAAATATCAAATGTTATATTCAAAACAGTAACAAAATTTAAAGTATGTAGGAACAAATTTACTAAGAAAATTACTAAGATTACAAAAAAAAGAGAAAAACCTTTTAAAGAATGTTACTCTTTTTGAACTTCTACCTTGCATATTTACAGGTAAGTTTTTAATATTAAAAAAAAAAAAATCACATGTACTTTCAATGAACAAAGGTCTGCTTCCAATGGTAATATTCAAAAGAAGATGCTAAATTCCCAGTTTCCTACTTCTGCATTTAGTTGACATTTATACATAGGATTATTGATGACTAATTCCATATTTTGCAGGGCTTCTAATTGACAATGCACCTCTTTAAAAATGCATCAGTAGGATTTAATTGTCTTGTTCTTTTTCTTCTCTATTAACATGTTGGAGACCATCCCTTCATACATCTCCTTATATATGTGTATATATGCATATATGAAAATTAACAACATAATTTTATGTGCAAGGGATCATAAAATGTATGCTGTTTCACCTGTTCCACCACGATGCAGCAGTACTTCAACTTATCCCTCTTCTTTTCTCCTCCACTTCTTCCATCATACCTGTGCTCCATTCTAGAAAACTAATATGATAAACATGTTTATTATCCATATTTTTCTCCATGTAAAATAGATTTAAGCATGGATTGCTTATTTTACAATATCATAAGAATATTATTTACCTTTCTCTGTACCTTACACCTCATAGATAACTATACATTGTAGAAATTTTCAATTCAATTGGTTTAGTGCTTTTTCACATGACTGAATTATATTCCCTAACATAAAAATGTCGTGATATATTCAGCCATTTTACTATTGCTGTGTCTGGGTTTTGCTACCTTGAATAATGATACATTGGCTATTTTTCCTATATTTACCTTTGTGAAGTGGTGCTTTTATTTGTGAGGAATATATAACAGTAAAAGTAGAAGATCAAAGAGTATATTATGTTTTTAAAAATTCAAAGGAGTTATATAAAATTGTTTTCAAAAATGGCTTTTGCAATTCATGTTTCCACAATGATATATGAAAGTACAACACTGCTCACTTCAGAAGTATTTTCACTCATTCCCATTTCTGGTGAGCTGATGCATGAGAAGGGAGATGTGTGGATGTGGATGGGGGTGCTCATGTGTGTGTACACATGTGTATTAGGTGTATAGAAAGCTGGACATCTTTGCTTCTTGGCATTTTGATTTGTTCATCTGTATACATGTCTATTCATGCCCTATACTCTTTTCTCATATCAATTTTTAATAGTTATTTTTAGAGTATTATGCATTACCATATATCTTTAAAAAAAAAAAAAAACCAAACTCCCGGCTTTAAAGTCGTTCCTGACTCACAGCAACCCTACTTGGTTGGGTTTCCAAAGTAGTATCTCTATGGAAGTAGATCGCCCAGTCTTTCTTCTGAGGAGTGGCTGGTGGGCACGAACTGCCAGTCGTCTGGTTAGTAGTCAAATGCCTTAGGTACTATGTCACCAGAGCTCCCATATCTTTCATATACATGGTAAAATATATTTCCTAATCCTCTAACTCTGTGTAAGTACTCTTTAGCTATGCATTAAAATTAAATTATAACATGATTTTATGTTGGCTTTCTTCTTTTAGTTAAGCATTACTCTAATTGCTATGCTGTCTTATTGCTTACTATATATCTGAAAAACTATCTGCACTGCACAGTAGGGGAGCAACTTAATTTACTTCGAGACAGACAGCCAATAGTGCTAGCATTATGCATTAAATCCATCACCCTTATATTACTGAATTGAAATATTATATTTATTTTATACCACATTCTCATATATACTATAATCAATTTCTCAGCTCTCTCATTTATTGCACCAATCTTCTCCTCTATTCTTGTCAATATCTTAATATTTTCATCATTATGGCTTTATATTATAGTTAAATATCAATTAACATACCTTTGACTATTCTTAATATTTACAGTATTCTTGGTCTTTTCAAATATTATTTTTTTTATTTCATGTGAATTTTTAGATAAGGGCATATTATTCTAAAACACTCCATTAAATTGAAAATGATTTATATTAATTTTATGTATCTCTTTTGGTGAATTAGCTGTTAAAAACATATTGTTATGGAGAATTGTTAACTTGTTAACAGTTTTTAACTGTTAAAAACTTATTGTTATGGAGAATTTATAAAAGTAGACATATAAAATTTAAATTTAAGAACTAATTAAGAAATATCTTAGAAAAATATTAGTCACACACAAAAAAATGTCACTATTATTTGTTCCTTCCTGATTGTTTTCCACATGTATTCTTTCATTTCAGTGATTGGATAGAGTAAATATGGCAGGAGAAAATGAAACTCTGCTGACCGAGTTTGTGCTCATGAGGCTTACAGATCATCCAGCATTGGAAATCCCCCTGTTCCTGGTGTTCTTGGTCATCTACCTCATCACCATGGTGGGAAACTTGGGACTGATTGTTCTCATCTGGAAAGACCCCCATCTTCACACACCCATGTACTTATTCCTTGGCAGTTTAGCCTTTGCAGATGTTTGTACTTCATCATCTGTGGCTCCTAAGATGCTTATGAATTTTTTATCCAATAATCATATGATATCAAAATTTGAATGTATGACCCAATTTTATTTTTTTGGTTCCAGTGCTACGACAGAATGTTTCCTCCTGGTAGTAATGGCCTATGATCGTTATGTTGCCATATGTAACCCCTTGCTTTATCTGGGAGTGATGTCCAATTGCCTCTGTATTCAAATGATAAGTGTTTCATATGTTACTGGTTTTCTGCATTCTATGATTCATGTAACTTTGTTATTTAGATTAACTTTCTGCAGATCCAACATAATACAATATTTCTACTGTGAAATTTTACAACTCTTCAAAATTTCTTGCACTGATCCTACAGTCAATACATTCCTGGTTGTAATTTTTTCAGCCTTTATACAAGTCTTTACTTTTCTGTCCATCATAATCTCTTATACTAGGGTCCTCTTTGCCATCCTGAAAAAGAAGTCTGAAAAGGGCAAAAGTAAAGCCTTCTCCACGTGCAGTGCCCATCTGCTCTCTGTCTCTTTGTTTTATGGCACTCTCTTCTTCATGTACGTGTGTCCTGGGTCTGAACCAGCTGAAAGCCAAGACAAAATGTATTCTTTATTTTACACAATAATAATTCCACTACTAAATCCTTTTATTTACAGCTTAAGAAACAAAGAAGTTACAGGTGCCTTGAGAAGAAGAATAAATAAATAAATAAATAGATAGATAGATAGATAGATGTCAGGCAGTTTTCAAACTTTTTTCTTTACTGTTTGCTAAAATGCTGGGGGCAGCATGGAGGAACACCATACATTAACAGTGGCTCTGCCTTTTCACCAGATCTCTGTGTGGAGGAACCCAGCTTCTTACACTGTTCACTTGGATACAGATCCAATGAAAGTTTGATATCATCACTCATAACTAGCCTAATTAGAAACATTTTTCTTTATTTTATTTACTCATTTAGCTTTTGCAAATTAGGTATCTCCCAGGGAATCCCAAAATTAAAGGTAGTAATTGACAAGTTTATTGTCCTTAAGCAATGAGTCTAATTGAGGCTAATATATATGGTTTGTCACTTTGGTCATGAATGAGCTCAGGTCACCATTCCGGATGTGCAGGTTAATAAGATTCTTGTCATTCTATGCTAGTACTAGGTATTGTTGCTAATAATCATCAATTAGTTTCTCACTCATTTTAACTCCACACATGTAGAGTAGAACTGCTTTGTATTCTGGTAAATTCAAAAAAATAAAATTCTACTTCTTGGTAAAATATATTCCTCAGAAGAAATATACTTCACAGTCTATTTCATGAATTTAGTGAATAAATAATAGTAAATAAGTGTGTTATTGGGAAAAAGTAAATAGATTTTAAAATATAAGTGGATCTTAGGAACAAAAATGCAAACTGAAATGATGTAAAGAGTAGAGCACCAAAATCAATTACAGTTCATATTTACAACTCTATATTCTATTTTTATCTAGAATATAGAATATAGCATAATATTCCATAAATAATAGATTTAGTAATGTCTCAAGATATATTTACATGTAATAAAGATCACTTTTCAAGATTGGCCTTATGATTGCATTATTATTCCTATCTGTTTCAGTAGGAGCTGAAAGGCAGGAAAAGAACCAAGATCATCGAGGACAAGAAAATAGTGTAGTATATAAAAATATGGATGAAAATTTGCATCAGAAAAATCTCAATAAATAATTCAATTCTAATTCTGGAACATAACCATATATATATTTATTTTAGAATCATTGCATAGGCTTAGCTTGTTTAACTCATCTTTAGTAAAACTCAATTATAGTCCTTTAGCAATCTAGTTTTATCAGCATATTCCCTCAGGAGCTATAGTTTTACAAAGGGAAAATTAAGTGTAAGATGTTGATGAATGAAAAATAGATGTGTTGATCTAACATTTATAAAACACATTACCTTTTGTCATGTCAATAGCTCCAACAAATATACCAAAATTTTTTGTGTAATAATCTAAGTATATGAAAAGTGCCTTTAATCTTTTCAATTTATTTATCACATGAATGTTGTTGTTGTTAAGGTGCTGTCTATTGGGAAAAAAATATTTGGCAATGACATATCTGACAAGAGACTTATCTCTAAAATTTATAGAAAACTCCAACACCTCAACAACAAAAAGACAAAAAATCCAATTGAAAAATGGACAGAAGACATGAATAGACACTTCACCAAAGTCTAATATCACCAAAGATATTCAGGCAGCCAACAAATACATGAAGAAATGTTCATGATTATTAGCTATTAGAGAGATACAAATCAAAACAACCATGAGATACCATCGCACCCTAGCATTAATAGCAAAGTTCAACAAGGCAAAAAATAACAAATACTGGCAAGAATGTAGAGAAATTGGGACTCTCATACACTGCTGGTGGGACAGTAAAATGATACAATCAGTGTGGAAAGCAGGAAGGAGATTCATTAAAAAGTTGGAATTAAAATACCATTTGACCCAGCAATCGCATTACTAGGTATATGTCCTAAAGAAGTGAGAGCCAGGATGAGAACAGATATAAGCACACCCATGTTCATCACAACACTATTTACAATAATAAAAAGATGGAAACAAGCTAAATGCCCTCAACAGAAGAATGGATAAGCAAACTATATACACAAAATGGAATACTGTACAACACTGAAGAATAATATAGAATCTACAAAACAATGTAACATGGATGAACTGGGAGGACAATATGCTAAGTGAACTAAGTTGATCACAGAAGGACAAATATTGTATTAGTTTATTGTTGTAAAAAGTCAAGGAAAGTTTCATATATAGAAGGAATCTTTCTTTGTTTGGTTACTAGGGGTGGGCAGAGAGGGAAAGGAACAATGCAAAAATAAAACACATGGCCACACACACACACACACAAAAAGTGAACTTGAAGACAAACAGATAGAGATTATGCAATTCAAAGAACACAGAGGAAAAAGAACTAAGAAAAATAAACAGAATCAAAAACTGTGGGATATCAGCAACCAATGTTTCCTCTCTTGGGCTTGTTTTAATTTTCTTCAGCTTCAACTTGAACTTGAACTTGCAATTCATTTGATGTGTTCCACAGTCAGAACTTGGCCTTGTCCTGACTGATAATATTGAACTTCTCCATCATGTCTTTCAACAAATGTAGTCAATTAGATTCCTGTGTATTCCATCTGGTAATGTTCACATGTTTAGCTGCAGTTTGTGTTATGTAAAAAGGGTCTTTGCAATGCCTAAGTCATTACCAAAAAAAAAAAAAAAAAAATGCACTCCCATCGAGTTGATTTAGATTCATTGTGACCCCTCCTTGGGTTTCCAAGGCAGTATCTCTACAGAAGTAGATTGTCCAGTCTTCCTTCTGTGAAGGGGCTGATGGGTTTGAACCACCAACCTTCTGGTTAGCAATCAAATGTCTTAGGCACTATGCCACCAGAGTCATGGAAAATTCTATGATGCAAACTCTGAAACCTTTCTATCACCAAGACCTTATTTTCTAACACCAGATCCTTCTTCTTTGTTTCCAAAATTCACACTCTTATTACCCATAATTTTCAGTGCAACTTGATTACTTGTTTGATCAATTTCAGACTGCAGGAGTTGCAGATTCTTCATCACTGATTTTAGTATTAAGTGTATAAATTTAAGTGATAGTCATGTTAACTGCTCTTCCTCATCTACAAGTGCTAAAATATGATCTTAATTATATCCTATCTGAATGTACAGGCCACCACGAGAATAGATTAGTTGCTCTGAACACCAATAACTCAAGACCATCAAGTTGTGGAATGACATAAAGAACATCATACAAGAAGAAAGCAAAAGGTCTTTAAACAGACAAGGAAGAAAAAGCAAACCAAAATAGATGTCAGAAGACACTCTGAAATTTGATCATCAATGTAGAGTAGCTAAAGCAAATGGAAGAAATGATGAAGTAAAAGAGCTGATCAGAAGAAATCAAAGGGCAGATTGAGAAGACAATTTTAAATATTATAGCTAAATGTGCACAGAACTGGAGCCTGAAAATGAAAAGAGAAGAACTTGCTTGGTATTTCTCAAGCTGAAAGAACTGAAGAATTGAAAGATTCTGTGGGCAAAATGCTGAACAACATCAAAAGAAGATAGAAGGAATATACACATTTACTGTACAAAAGGAAAAAAAAAGAAAGAACTGGTAAATATTCAACCATTTCAGGAGGTAGCATATGATCAAGAACTAATGGCACTGGTTGAAGAAGTCAAAGTTGCAGGGAAGGAGCTGACAATAAACAAGTCTCTAAGAATTTATGAAATACTCTTTGAGATATTCCAACAAATGGATGAAATGCTGCAAGCATTCATTTGTCTATGTCAAGAAATTTGAAATACAAGTATGTGATCAACTGATTGGAAGAGATCCATATGCATGTCCATTCCAAACAAAGGTGATCCAACAGAATGTGGAAATTATCAAACAATATCATTATCACACAAGTAAAATTTTGCTGAAGTAAATTCAAAAATGGTTACAGCAATATATTGACAGGAAACTGCTAGAATCCAAGCTAGATTTGGAAACAGATATAGAACGAGGGATACCATTGTTGATGTGAGATGAATCATGGCAGAGAATGTTTATCTGTGTTTTATTGACTGTGCAAAGGCATTCAACTGTGTGGATCATAACAAATTATGCATAACATTCTGAAGATTAAAAATTCCAGAACACTTAATTGTGCTCATGTGGAACCTATATATAGAACAAGATGCAATCATTCAAACAGAGCAAGGAGATACTGCACAGTTTTTAACCAGAAAAAGTGAGTGTCAGAGCTGTATCCTTTCTCCACGATTATTCAAATTGTATGCTGAACGCATAATCCAAAAAACTGGGCCATATGAAGAACATGGCATTAGGGATTGCAGGAAGACTCACTAATAGCCTACAATTTGCAGATGACACAGCCTTGCTTGATGAAAATGAAGGGGACTTTGAACACTTACTGATGAAGATCAAAGACTACAAACTCGAATATGGATTACACTTAAACATAAAGAAACAAAAATCCTTACAACAACACCAATAAGCAACATCATGATAAATAAAGGAAGGATTGAATTTCTCAAGGATTTCATTTTACTTGGATTCACAATCAATGACCATAGAAGTAGCAGTCAAGAAATCAAACAATATATAGCATTAGGAAAATCTACACCAAAAAAAATAGCTTTAAAATATTAAAGAGCAAAAATGACAGTTTGAATACTAAGGTGAGCCTGACACAAGCCATGATATTTTCCATCCCCTCATATGCAACTAAAAGCTGGACAAAGAATAAAGGAGACTGAAGCAGAATTGATACCTTTGAATTATGATGTTGGAAAAGAATACTGAATATACCAGGGACTGCCAGAAGAAAAAAATCTGGGAAGAAGTCCAGCTGGAATGTCTTTTACAAGAACAGTGAGACTTCACCTCTCATACTTTAGTCATGTTTTCAGGAGGGACCAGTCTCTGAAAAAGAATATCATGCTTGATAAAGCAAATAGCAAAAGAGAAGAAGACTCTCAACAAGATGGATGGACAAAGTGGCTGAAAAAATGGTCTCAATCATAACATGATTGTATGGCACAAACCTGGGCAGTGTTTCATTCTTTTGTATGTTGGGAAGCTATGAGTCAGAAGTGACTCAATGGCACCAGG